GCAGTTAGGGCCAACCGGACCAGCAGGGGAAGGCAGTTGGGGGCAATCGGGCCAGCAGGGGAGTGATTAGGGGGTGATCAGGCTGGCAGGCAGAAGTGGTTAGTGGCAATCAGGCAGGCAGGCAGGTGAGCAGTTGGGAGCCAGCAGTCCCGAATTGTGATCCCTGTGGGATCAGGCCTAAACTGGCAGTCGGACATCCCCCGAGGGGTCCCAGATTAGAGAGGGTGCAGGCTGGGCTGAGGGAAACCCTCCCCCCCAGTGCATGAATTTTGTGCACCAGGCTTCTAGTGTGTGTGTGTGTGTGTGTGTGTGTGTGTGTGTGTACTTGTATATGATGTATTTGGAATTTTTTAACTTTTATTTTTCAAATACAATTTACATTCAATATTATTTTGTATTAGTTTCAGGTGTGCAGCATAGTGAATCATATACCTACAAATTGTTCCCCCTGATAGACCACCTGATACCATACATGGTTATTACAATATTATTGACTATATTCCCAATGCTGTACTTTACATCACTATGACTATTTTATAACTACCAATTTGCACTTCTTAATCCATTCACCTTTTCACCCAGTCCCCCAAACCCCCTTCCCACTGGGTAGAACAGATTTATATTAAAAAGAGAGAAAATTATTCTCTTTGTCTACATCTTAGTAATTTTCTCAGCATAATCCTCTCCAGATCGCTTTCACAACCTAGCTCTCTGTTTTTATGATACAGGTAGTATCTGCAGCACACTGAGGAGGGAACACCCCTCTCTTCACCTCACTCACTGGGATTCCTTCCAGTTACTCTGCACAGCCCTAGTGATGTGGTGACTTATTAGACCTACAGCCCCTGCCTGCCCCCCAAACATAATAAATGTGATGATCGCTTCCATACTAAATGCTTCCTTCTTGATGGAGGCTCAGAAAGCCCATAAGAAAGTAAGATGCCAGAGGGAAGTCACCTTGAACAGCAGAGTGAAGAGGAGCAGAAAGCATCTTACCAGAAGCCCAGTCTCTGACTACATGGCTCAGGGCTACTGTGGGGTGGGGAGGGTTAGAATAGAGAAATTAACATAGAGGGAGGGAGGGAGGGAGGGAGGGAGGGAGGAAGGGAGGGAGGGAGGAAGAATAAGCAAGGCAAAGGGGGAGAGTTCAGAGATACAATGTTCTTAACAGGAATAATAATAACAAACACAATTATATTAATACAAAGAGCCATAGCAACAGTAAGATGTGTTATCAGAGGTGCCAACAGTGTGCTTGCTGCTGCAGCAGAATTAAGCCCTCTCAATTAAGCTGTGATCTGCATTCTGTCTAAACTATATGGGAAGGATGAGCAGCCATGTGGACAGCCTGGGATGAAGGGACTCTTCTGTTAATTACAAGGCCATGGGTTTTTCTCCTGGCTAAATAGTGTGGGTGAAGACTGTGATAATCTTTGTTTCCTGCTGTGCTCTGACTCCTTTCCTTGGAGTCCAGGGTGAGACCCAAAGGCCAGAATAGAGGGTATGGAGAACCCTGGGAGTAGGTCCTAGGACAATGTGAAGGGGTAAGAGAAATCTTGGAGATGTTGAGTAATATCTATCTATCTATATAAAAAGCCAGTGACCATAACGGCCATAATGACCATAACTACCGGTAGCCAGCAAACTGGCTGATCAGGGGGTGGGGCCAGCCAGCCAACCTCAGGGCCCCTACTCCCTGCCAGCATGCCCCTGATTGGATTCTCCCACCCTGATCAAGAGCAGGCCGGCTGGCCAAACACCCCCTCCCTTCCCCTGGCCAGCCCTGTCCCGATCAGCCAGCCCCACCACGATAGGCCCACAGCCCCTCTCCCCAGCCAGCCCGCCCCTGATTGCACCCCCACCCCCACCCCAATAGGGGCGGGGCTGGCTGGCCAACCTCCTGCAGCCCCTCCCCCCGCCAGCCACGTCCCCATGGGCCCCCACCACCCTGTATCCCAGATGGGCCTCCCCACCCCAATCAGGGGCAGAGCCAGCTGGCCCACCACCCACAGCCCCTCCCCATGGCCAGCCCCACCCCCAAACGTCCCCCCAACCCCAATCGGGGGCCAGTTGCCCATGGCCCCTTCCCCCAGCCGGCCCAGCCCTGGTCAGCCCCAATCAGGGCTAGCCAGCCGGCCAGCCCCCCACCATCTCCTTTTGACAGGCCCAACCCTGATCTGCCCTGATTTGGGCTGGTCTGGCTGGATCCCGGGCCCCACCTGTGCACAAATTTGTGCACTGGGCCTCTAATATTCCTATATATAGAAAATTGAAGAATCAATGAAAAGTTCACACATCTGTTCTCGTTGGACTCCCACATTACCAGTGATACTTGGAATCATCTTTGAAAACCAAACAGCAGGATCCCCTTGGTGGGGCTGTGGGGAAAGGGGGTATTTTCAGTGCAGTGGAAAGCTGGCTGACCCATTCCCTTGGGAAATGAAGAGTTCTGTACCCAGGGTGGACCCCAGGAGTTGTAGGCCTGAATTGTGCCTCAGAAGGAGGACAGTAAGAAGGTAGAAACTAACATCATAATTGACTGGGGGGAAAAACACGTCTTGGAGAATGTTGAAGGGAGAATGTTGACGATTAAAAGAGAAGGATAGTGGGGAGGGAAGAAACTAGAGAAGAAAGGAGAGGAAAGAATACAAGTGTATAGTTCAAAGCAGGGCTTCATAGTCTTTTTCATCTTGCTGAAAATGTATAAAATATATTTATGTTGCCCTTTTAAACATCTTTCTATTCAGATTCTATTAAAATCATATATTCAGCATAAAGTATGTATTTTTACTGATGAGAAACTAAAGAGAACAAAATTGAGGTCCAGAGGCCCAGAAAGGTTGTGACTTTTTCTTTTTTAATATATTTTATTGATTTCAGAGAGGAAGGGAGAGGAAAAGAGAGAAACATCAATGATGAGAAAGAACCATTGATCGGCTGCCTCCTGCACGCCCCCTACTGGGGGTGGAGCCCACAAGCCAGGCATATGCCCTTGGCTGGAATCGAACCTGGGACCTTTCAGTCCACAGACCAATGCTCTATCCACTGAGCCAAACCAGTTAGGGTGGTTGTGACTTTTTCAAAGCCACACAGTGGCTTCCTGACTCCCAAGGGGGGGTGGGAGGGGCAGCACTGTCATTCACCCACTCTTGGCCTGCCTGACCAACTCCCAGGTCACCTTCCTTCCCACTTTCCCACAAACTCAGGTTCACTTTGAATAAACACCTTAACCCTTTTGGGTCTTGGTTTACTCAATGGCCATATAAGGGTATGAAATGATCCTTCACAATTTATGTTTCATCCTCAAAGAATAAGGGGACCTAACATGCCACCAACTCAGCATATGTTTGACTTCTCAATACCCTGAAGAAGTAGTTTTTAAAATGTGGCCCTCACCGGGCAGGTGTGGCTTAGTTGGTTGAGCGTGGTTCCATGCACCAGGAGGTGGCTGGGTGGATTCCAGGTCAGAGCACATGCTTGATCCCCAGTAGGGGCTTCAGGAGGCAGCCAATCATGTTCATCTCTCATTGATGTTTCTACCTCTCTCTCCCCCTTCCCTTCTTCTCTCTGAAATCAATTAAAAATTTTTAATTAAAAATAATAAAATAAAAAGATAAATAAGGAATAAATAAAATGTGGCTCCTGGACCATGAGCCGGCATCAGCAACTGGGTACTTACTAGAAATGAAAATTCCCGGGCCCCTCTCCCAGACCCGACTGACTAAGAAAACTCTGGTTGTGGGGCCCCGACA